CGAAACTGACTGAAATCGCTACCGCTGTCACGGATACAATGGTCGGTGTCACTGCGGCGGGCGACTGGTTCGTGAGTAGGTTTTTGATTCATAGGAGCACTGCACGTGTTTGCTCCTGTTCGGCACTTGAGGGGAGGGGGGGGGGGGGGGGGGGGGAGGGGGGGCGGGGTGGGGCTGGGAGGGGGGAGGGAGGGGAGGGTGTGGGGGGTTAAAATCTACGCGGAACTGGTTTTACGTACCCAAATCGGCGTGACCGTTGTCGCCCCCGCGGTTTTTTTTAAAGCTGGTTTTTAGCGAACGAAGAACTCGAGTGAGAACAGGCTCTGATTTCCAAGTGTGAGGATCAATGATCGAGTTCATGAAATATATATAACGTTGAGCTATATATAGGCATGACACAAGACCAGTGACCCGGGTGTTACTAGAGGGTACCGAGCCTAAGGAACCCTCGGGAACGGGACCTTCCCGGATTCGGTAACAGCAATTTGGTGCTAATCACGCGCACGCAAAGCCACGCGAGAATCACCGAAATGAGGCTTTATTCGGTGCACGCAATCCTATTCATTGCTATAACTGTAATAGCTATAAAGAAGCAACAAACGAAAAAATAAGCACAGAAATGCAAATAGAAAATAGGAATAAGCAAGTTTAGGCAATAACGGACGGCGTACTCTCACAACGGGGACTTTCTCTTTGACAATATGTGTCCCCAGCCGTCCAGTGCCACCTCCTTGATATCTTCCAACCGAGGGTATATCCATTGGGCTCCCTTGTCCACTGCCCCATCGTACAGCCGTGATGCCTGCCTTTCTTTTAGTTTCTTGATGTGGTGCCGAGACATCAGGTTTGAAGAGTCATTGTTGTCCACCACCAATCCTGCCTTCGGCACCGCCGCTACACCCTATCATGACCACTGGCCTCTGAAACACCCTCTCGTTCAGGTACAGCTCTCACATGTTCCTGCATTCTCCCCATTGTTGCCTATGCAAATCCCAGTGTCGTCTCAACCCCAATTCCTCATTGAACGGCTTGACCTTTGCATGATAGGCTTCTCTCAGCTCCCGCCTGATAAAGCGCACAGACAGCTCAGCTAGGGGCCCATACTTCTCGCAATACTGCACCCTGCAGGTCAGCCTCTCCGCCCACATGCATATCGTCACTCCGATCCTATGCAGGAGCTCGATACCCAGTAGCAGATTGTTGTGTGATGCTACCATACGCATTCACGTCTGTCTGCCTCCCATCCCATGTTCGTACTTTGGATGCGTTGTATGCGAATGTGAGAATTTGTATGCGGCATGGTTTAAATGTTGTGAGTGTGTGTGAATTCATATTTTGTTTGAACAGATATCTGAAATGACTTCTCTGCTCAAGAGCTTTCCGACGAACCAAGGATCGATTCAATCGGAGCAAGAATGAGAAAGTTACGGACGATCAAAGTTCGTATACTTTGATATTTGGTTGCGGTGACTTTGAGAATTTGTGGTGTGACTCTATATGGGGTATAGACTTTTGGGGGTTGAGAAATTCGTCAATTCTACTGTAGTTGCTGCCAAATGGTTGGGAGAAACCAAACCAGGTTGACAAGTGTGGCCAAGTTGGATGAGGTGGATGGCATGGGTTGGGAAAGTGATAAACGTAAAAATTGGGGTGCCTATAGGGAGGAGAATTGTATGCTTATGGGGTTTCCTTGGTTGGGGACTCTCTCGTCCTCCTCAGGTAGCTGCGTCTGCTTAGATGTCCGCATCAGGTCAGGTAGCCACCTCTTGCTCATGTTGCCTTCTGTCGCACCAGACAGTTTTGTGGCACCACCGCCTGGGTCACCCCTCCCTGCCACGCCTTCGTGGCATGCACTCCCGTCTTCTTGTCTCTGGTCTTCCCAGGTCCCTGCCTCCCCTGCCGCCCTCGCCTGCCCCGCCCTGCCTTCCTTGCGTCGAGGGGCGGCAGCGCGCCGCTCCTCACTCCTCCTCATTCCCCCCGACGACTGCTCCCCTGCAGACTCTCCACATGGACGTGTGGGGCCGAGCCCGCGTCAGTGGAAAGAGCCGTGAGCGTTACTTTCTGCTGGTAGTTGACGACTACACGCGGTACACCACGGTCTTCCCCTTGCGCAGCAAGGGTCAGGTCGTTGATGTCTTGATCCCTTGGATCCGCACAGTCCGTCTCCAGCTCGGCGAGCGGTTCGGCAAGGACCTTCCTGTCCTGCGTCTGCACTCTGACAGAAGTGGTGAATTCTCCTCCAGCCTCTTGCGGGACTTTTGTCATGGGGAGGGCATTCTCCAGTCGTTCACGCTTCCGGACTCCCCTCAGCAAAATGGGATTGCTGAGCGTCGCATTGGCTTAGTCATGGAGGTCGCTCATACCTCCAAAATCCATGCGGCTGCTCCCCATTTTTTGTGGCCGTTTGCGGTCCGTTACGCTGCGCATCAGCTCAACCTCTGGCCCCGTGTCTCCTTGCCGGAGACCTCGCCCACACTGCGTTGGACGGGGGAGGTTGGCGATGCGTCGGTGTTCCGGGTCTGGGGATCTCGTGCCTTTGTTCGCAATACGTCCGCGGACAAGCTCACCTCCCGTGCTATCCCCTGCGTCTTCCTTGGCATTGTCCCTGACGCGCCTAGCTGGCAGCTTTACCACCCCACCTCGCGCCGTGTCTTCCCTTCTCATGACGTCACATTTGACGAGTCGGTACCTTTTTTCCGTCTCTTCCCCTACCGCTCTGCCCCTTCCCCGCCCCCACCGCTCTTCCTTGCTCCCGGTCCCCCTCCGGTAGACCCCCTCCCGCCTCAAAGTCCTGCTCCCTCACGTGTGTCTCATGTAGACCCTCTCCCTCGTCCTGCGTTTGTTGAGGTAGCTGTCGGCTCAGGTGCTCCTCGAGGTGCTGCGTGTGGGGGTGATGCGTCTGGGGGTGCTGCGTCTGAGGGTGCGGAGCCAGAGGGTGCGGAGTCTGAGGGTGCTGGGTCTGGGGGTGCTGAGCCTGGGGGTGAGGAGCGTGGGGGTGCCAAGCCTGTAGGTGTGGAGCCTGAGGGTGCTGAGTCGGAGGGTGCGGAGTCTGGGGGTGCTGAGCCTCGGGGTGCTGCTTCGTCTGGAGGTCCTGCTGGTGCTTCGCCGCGACTGTCTCCGCAGCAGCTGCGTCAGTGGTTTGTTCGGCGCGCCCGCCCTCGGAGTGGAGCTACCGGAGCTGGAGACACTGGAGCTAGAGGTGCTGGAGTTACTGCTGGAGCTGGTGGTACTAGAGGCACTACGGCTACTGGTCCTGGAGGTGCTCGTATTAGGGGTAATGGAGCTGCGGGGACTGGTGGTGTTGAGGGCGCTGGAGCTAGAGTGCCTACGGAGCCTGGAGCTGCTGGAGCTGGAGGCACTGTCGCTGGTGGCGCTGGAGCTGGAGGCGCTGGAGCTGCAGGAGCTGGAGCTGTTGAGCCTGGAGCTGGAGGTACAGGAGACACTGTACGGCCGCGACCGTACTTCGTTCCCCTGCTTCAGCAGATTCTTGGTGTCCCGTCTTCTATTGGCCTTACTCCTCCCCTCCTGTGTCCACTGCTTGACCAGTCGCAGCTGCCGTTGCAGCCGGCCTCTCCACTGCCTGCTCCCTCTCCTTACACTGAGCAGTCCGGCGGTCTTACAGAGCGTCGTGAGCCTGGGTCTCGTCCTGTCTCGGCTGTTCGCACTGCTTGTCGCGTTCCTCGTTCGTGTCCTCCTCCTGTCCCCGGCACACACGCTATGGCACTCCGTCCTTCTTCTGTTCCACTGCGTGTTCCTCTGCCGCCTCCTCCTGAGTCCTCTCTTCGTGAGGTTCTTGACCCTGAGTCTGACCGTGCTCGTGCTGCCAGTCCCACTGTCGCTCGTCTCCTCGCCACTGCTGTCACTGACCCTTCCTTTGAGTCTGCTGCTGCGATTGCTCTCGTTGTTGAGCTGCTTGACTGTGCTACTGCCTGTCGTCTAGACTACGCCACTGCTCTTGTTGCTGAGTCTGCGTCTGCCAGTCCTCCGTCCGTCGGGGGTGGGTGTGCTCTTGGCACGGACGTCCCTGAGGACAGGCAGGAGGACTTTGAGTGTCTTGCAGCTGCTGTACCTCGTTTCGCTTCCATGCTGCTTGCCCTTGAGGGAGACCCGGATGCACCAGACATCCCGACCCCGCGCTCTTACGCAGAGGCGATTACGGGTCCTTACTCCTCTCAGTGGCAGGCAGCCATGGATGCCGAGATGGCATCCTGGAAGTCCACAGGCACCTACGTCGACGAGGTTCCCCCACCCGGGGTGAACATAGTCGATGGCATGTGGATTTTCAGGGTGAAGCGGCCGTCGGGTTCTCCGCCTGCCTTCAAGGCGCGTTACGTTGCTCGAGGCTCCAGTCAGCGACAGGGGGTTGACTACTTCCAGACCTTCTCCCCCACCCCGAAGATGACTACTCTTCGGGTGTTGCTGCACGTCGCTGCTCAGCGTTGTTAGAATACGAGCTAGACTTATGAGCCATGGCTAGTGAGTGTCGAGAGAATTGAGTGTCGAGAGGATTGAGTGTCGAGAGAATTGGAAAGGAGAATGAGGGGTTTCACTAGCAAGAGTTGGGATACAAGTACAACACCCTAAATTGGGTTGTACTCATTACAGAGTACGCCACTGCAGGCTAGACAGCAAATACATTCTGACACACCCCCATAGTCAAAGTGGGGTATAATCAGCAGAGCAAGCAGTCATAGAGTAGGTTCACAAGTACAAGCAAAGCTAGAGGCATACACAAAAGGCAAGTGAGGAGGAGGCTGGACTGTGAGAGGAGAGGAGATAGGAGGCGACGGCTGATGCTGCAGACACACGGGCAACAGGAGCGGCGGGCACTGTGGCTACCGGTGCCGTATCCCCGGACTACAGGAGTAACTGGCTCTGTGGCTAACTCTGAGCGGCAGGAGCAACGGACCCACAGGCGACAGGCGCAGCAGGCTCTCTGAGCTACCAGAAGCAGAGCCCCGGACTACAGGTGCTGCGGACGACAAGACGGCAGCCTCTGCTCAACCTCCCCCAAGATCCCCTCCCCCCCACTGCTGCACCCGCAGCAGGGGGGAGGTAGGAGAAGGGGCGGTGCAGGAGCCGCTCGGACGACAGCAGGTGGCCACACCTGGCACCCCCATACCCTCCCCCACTGCTGCACCTGCAGCAGAGGGACGGAGGAGAAGGGGGGGGGGGCTGGAGCTGCAGATCCCCTCCCCCCCACCGCCACACCCGCAGCAGGGGGATGGAGGAGAAAGGGGGGGGGGGGGGGGGGGGTGGGGGGGTGCAGGAGCCGCTCGGGCGACAGCAGGTTGGCCACACCCGCCACCCCCATACCCTCCCCCACTGCTGCACTTGCAGCAGAGAGATGGAGGAGAAGGGGGGGCGGGGGGGGGGGGGGGGGGGGGGGGCAGGTGCTGCAGGTCCCCTCCCCCCACTGCCGCATCCGCAGCAGGGGGATGGCAGATCCCCTCCCCCCCACCACTGCACCCGCAGCAGGGGGAGATAGGAGAAGGATGGGGGGGGGGGGGGGGGAGGGGGGGGAGGTGCTGCAGATCCCCTCCCCCCCTCTGCTGCTCCCGCAGCAGGGGGAGGTAGGAGAAGGGTGGGGGACCTGGTGCTGCAGATCCCCTCCAACCTCCCCCTGAACCTCCAAGCTTCCCCCCCCTCTCCCCGCCATCCCCATGGAGGGGGGGGAGGGGGGGGAGGGGGGCGGGGGCGGAGCTGCGCGTGCGACTGTAGGGCGCGCGGGCAGGAGGAACCCCCTCTTGCCACCCCCTCACCCACCATGGCGCAACAGGGCACCGGGGCCGCGGTTAGGGGCGGCAGGTCGCGAGGGGCCATGGCTAGGGGCGACGGGGCCATGGCTAGGAACGGGGCCGGGCGCTGGGCAGATACGGGGCCGGGTGCTGGGCTAGGGACGGGGCCGGGTGCTGGGCAGGTACGGGGCCGGGCGTTGGGCAGGTACGGGGCCGGGCGCTGGGCAGGTACGGGGCCAGGCACTGGGCAGGTACCGGGCCGGGCACTGGGTAGGAACGGGGCCGGGCGCTGGGCAGGTACGGGGCCGGGCGCTGGGCAGGGACAGGGCCGGGCGCTGGGCAGGGATGGGGCCGGGCGCTGGGCAGGTACAGGGCCAGGCTCTGGGCAGGTACGGGGCCGGGCGTTGGGCAGGTACGGGGCCGGGCGCTGGGCAGGTACAGGGCCGGGCGCTGGGCAGGTACGAAGCCGGGCGCTGGGCAGGTACGGGGCTGGGCGCTGGGCAGGTACGGGGCCGGGCGCTGGGCAGGTACGGGGCCGGGCACTGGGCAGGAACGGGGCCGGGCGCGGGCTAGGTACGGGGCTTGGCGCTGGCGACAGACGGGGCCGGGCGCGGGCTAGGTACGGGGCCGGGCGCTGGCTAGGGTCGGGGCCGTGCGCTGGGCTAGGTACGGGCCGGGCGCGGGGCTAGGTACGAGCCGAGCGCGGGCGAGAGACGGGGCCGGGCGCGGGCAGGGTACGGGCCGGTCGCGAGGCTAGGTACGGGCCGGGCGCGGGGCTAGGAACGGGGCCGAACGAGGCAGGGTACGGGCCGGTCCCGAGGCTAGGTACGGGCCGAGCGCGGGGCTAGGAACGGGGCCGAGCGCGAGGCTAGGTACGGGCCGATCGCGGGCTAGGTACGAGGCCAAGCGCGGGCGAGGAACGGGCCGGGCGCGGGGCTAGGAACGGGGCCGAGCGCGGGCTAGGTACGGGCCGGGCGCGGGGCGACGGAGTCGACGGGGCCAGCGGGGCCAAGAGGCGCGGCTAGGGGCGACGGGGCCAACGGGGCCGAGTGTCACAGCTAAGGGCGACGGGCCAAGGGGCCGAGCCTAGGGGCTATGGGCGACGCCAAGGGGCGACGGGCCGGGGCCTAGGCTAGCAGGTACGTAGGTGGTGGGCCCATTAAGGTTGAGGTCCTAGGAAGGTTATACTCTTAATACCATGTTAGAATACTAGCTAGACTTAGGAGCCATGGCTAGTGAGTGTCGAGAGAATTGAGTGTCGAGAGGATTGAGTGTCGAGAGAATTGGAAAGGAGAATGAGGGGTTTCACTAGCAAGAGTTGGGATACAAGTACAACACCCTAAATTGGGTTGTACTCATTACAGAGTACCCCACTGCAGGCTAGACAGCAAATACATTCTGACAAGCGTGACTACGAGTTGCACTCTCTTGACTTCAGCACAGCTTTCCTGCAGGGCAGCCTGCACGAGGAGATCTGGCTGCGCCGCCCACCTGGCTTCACTGGGTCGTTTCCAGCAGGTACCCAGTGGAGCCTCCGCCGGCCAGTCTACGGTCTGCAGGTAGCCAGGCGCCTCGCGAGTGGCACGACACACTGAGGACGACACTTGCGGCTCTTGGGTTTGCTCCTTGTACTGCTGACCCGTCGCTGTTTCTACGCACCGACACCTCGCTGCTGCTGTTCTACGTCCTCGTCTACGTCGACGACCTCGTCTTTGCTACTGCTGACACTGAGGCACTGACCCTTGTGAAGTCGGAGCTACAGAAGAGACACACCTGCACTGACCTGGGTGAACTGCGCAGCTATTTTGGCTTGCAGATCACCCGGGACAGAGCACGGCGCACCATCACACTGACTCAGTCACACATGGTGCACCAGGTCCTTCAGCGCTTCGGCTTCCAGTTCTCCTTGCCACAGTCCTCTCCTCTTCCTACCGGTCACTCGCTCTTAGCTCCACTTTCAGAGGAGTCCGTAAAACCGAGTGGCCCGTATCCAGAGCTTGTGGGCTGCCTCATGTACCTGATGACATGCACTCGACCTGACCTTGCCTACCCTCTTAGCATCCTGGCACGCTACGTTGCGCCCGGGAGACACTGACCAGAGCACTGGGAGGCCGCTAAGAGGGTGTTGCGCTACTTGTGCAGTACATTGGGCATAGGGCTCGTGCTTGGAGGACAGGGTCCAGTTGTCCTCACCGGTCACGCAGACGCTTCTTGGGTTGACGACTCAGCTACGCAGCGGTCGTCACAGGGTTACACCTTCAGCCTTGGCTCTGGCTCTGTTTCCTGGCGGTCTACCTGCTCGTCTTCGGTTCTCAGCTCCAGTTGTGAGGCTGGATCTACGCCGGAGCCATGACTGCACAGGAGCTACGCTGGCTCACCTACCTGCTGACCGACTTGGGAGAGCAGCCTCGTTCGCCTCCAGTTCTGTACGTAGACAACAAGGCCATGATTGCCTTGGGTTTGGAGCACAGAACGAAGCACATCGCTCTGCGATACTTGCTTGCTCGAGAGTTGCAGCAGCGTGGCCAGCTTCGTGTTGCGTACGTGGCCACTAGGGCCAACACTGCTGATATATTGACAAAGGCACTTCCGCTTGGTGATCATCAGCGATTTTCTACTATGTTAGGCCTTGTGCCTACTTTGCCTCACTTGCTTACTGCTTGACTCTGCTTGTACTGTGATATATATATATATATATATATATATATATATCTGCATGCATGCATTTGCTAGGATATGATCACTGTATTGTTTGTTCTGTTTATATCACTCTGCATGTGAACTGGCCTTGTGGTCCTTTGTTTGTGCTTGGACTGCGTGATGACTTTGTGATCCACCCTGAGCTCATTTTGCTTTTCTTGACTGGTCTTGTGACCACTTGTTTTCCCCATTTTGCCTATGAAGGTGTGTCAGAATATTATAGTTTTTACATTTGTGTAGGCTGTAATGGGGTAGCCCATAAGGGGTACAACCCAATTAGGGTTAGTACTTGTACTCAGTTGTTTCATAGTTCATTCATTCTCGTTCATTCTCTTCACATCATATTGGGACGATTTGATACGAGCTTTGCCACACATGAAAGGGAAATCTCAACTAGTCTGGAGGCCACGGCATGCGATGTAGTGAGATCCCCATTGACAACAGAAGTACCATTCCCTCTCTTCACCTGCTCCTCCACCAGTCAAGATTGGGAGGAAGAGAAAGGGGGAGGATGCGAGAAGGTGTTGTAAGGAGGGAATGAGAGGGAAGAGGTAGGCGAGAAGGATAAGGGAAGTGATGCGGGACAGGAAGAAGAAAGTGAGATTGAGAGAGTGAGACGGGGCAATGGAAGGGTTTTCATGAAACAAACTGCGATGTAAACGGAAAATCTCCAACATACGGAAAGTCAGGAAGAGGGATCAATGGTTGGAATAAAGAAGCAGCAGCATACCTAGTCCTTGATGTGGATATGCGATCCATCTTCACAAAGGAGGATGACATGCTTGCAGGTGAGTAGCTCCATCATGACCACTCCAAAGCTGGGGAGAGCAGTGTGGGCGAGAGGGACAGGGGAGGGAGGAGAGGGACGAATGGAGCAGAGCGAGAGAGAGGGAGAGAGAAATAGAAAGAGAGAAGGGGGGGGGGGGGGGGGGGGGAGAGGTCAATAATGCCTCATTTGCCTTACATTTCCTCACTTTTTAGTTTCAGTTTTGAGTTCTCTTCATTCTTAGCTACCTAGAGCCTCGCTCAGGAGGCCTTCGGCCGCCCTCGCTCGCCCCACCTCGTGAAGGCCGTTGGAGCTCGTCATCTCTTCCACTATAACACCAGAAATGAACACACATGCAGAAAGGCCTGCCTCAACGCCTACAAGGGCACCCACACAAAATCCAATCAACAACAGGGGAGGCAACACTACGTGGGAACTTGTGACGCAAGCAGCGGGGGACAGCTCAGCCGACACATCGCCCAAATCCTGCATGTCCGCCATCTCCGACTTTCTAGCGGCAGTGCTCGGCACGTCGCCGCCACGCGCACCCTCGCCAACGCCAAATCGGGAGGGCAGAAGCCCAGCAGCGCCAATCTACGGCAGCAACAACGGCAGCTGACGTAGCGCCAGCGCCAGTCTTGGCACCAGCTGCAGTGCCCACCATGCCAGCAAGTCCCACGACGCCAGCATGAGCCATGGACTCCCTACCTCGAGGAGCAGAGGATTCCAAAGAGGCTGGCCACCCCACGCCCTCCTTGGCGTCACCGCACAGCCCGCCAGGCCTGCCGCGCCTCGACAACAAACGCCCACCAGGCACCCCCCGGTCACTCCTCAAGACCCTCCTGAAGAAGCTCCCCCAGCGCGCCCGAGGCCTGCAGCACCTGCCCGGGCTGCTAGCGACTTCCTCCTCTCCCCCCCACTCTCGCTGCGAGCGCTCTCCACCGGCACTGGAAGGAGCCCAGCAAAGTCGCGCAGGAGGGCGCGGGTGCATAAGGGAGTCAACCTCCCCGCAAGCAGCTCGCCTCGACGTGCCTACTCAGCAGGGGCACATCACATAGCACCACCCTCCGTGCAACCGTGAGGGTCGCTCATCCTACCAGCACCGAAACGCTGTCGAGTGAGCGCACTTCTCCCCTTTCTACTCGGGACTCCATTCTACATGCGGCGAACTGCGAGCGGAGCTTCGCGCACGTCTCAGCGCCCCCCGTCCTCACCACCCTGTCGGGGTTGGCGCGCCCGCAAAGCACGATCCGCCGTCACCCACAGCATGCTCCACGACTAACCCTTGGAACCTCTCCACCGCAAGCACCGCTTCCGCATTCGACCAGGAGAGCGGAGCCCCTTCGACCTGGGCAGCTGGGAGGACATCAGAAGCAGCAGGCCCCACAGGTACACCCCACACAGCGCCGACGGCGCAGCACGCACCACAGGCGGAAGCAGCACAACCAGCCGCGGAGGGAAGCAGTGCAGGCCCAATTGTGCAGTCGCTGCACACCCAGTGACGCCACTGACGATTGCGGCGGACCCGGCCACGACGAGGGACGGAACGTGGAATCCGGTGCGTGGAAACGGCAGGCGCCTGGTGGTCATGGTGGTTGCGTACGAGGAGGGCGCGCAGGAGGCATGCGACGCAGGATGCA